GTAGGCCTCCGTGTTGAGTTCGAGGCCCTCAGTAACAAATTCAGGAGTTCTTATCAGAACGATCAGAGTGAGTTTTCCGAGTCGTCGTCCCTTCGTAATCACCATTAGACTCATCCAACTCGTTTCAAATCCTCTGCATAGTCCACAGATTGCTAACCAAACATTCTAAAATGTTCGCTTTGGAGCTTCCGACACAAATGCTAAGCAGTACAACATGTCGTTTCCAAATTTCTGGTGGGGTGAATTGCATCATGGTGCTGTTTTTCTCACAGATGGTGCCCAACTGCCCTTACTATACTGTGCTGTCAATAAAATAAAAAAACAAACAACGCGCATGCGCAAAACTAAAAATATAAAATGGCGACAGTTTACCATTGCACCGTGTGTGTGTGTGTGAAAATATATAGAAAATAGGAAGGAACTCGTTAGGTAAATAATCCGAAGTTTTTTAGTATTTTTGTTTTTATTTAAAAAAAAAAACAGTGCTCACTACAAAAGTAGAGTCTAAATAAAATTATTTATTTAAAAATATGATTCCTTCGCTACATAAGTGTTGTCATGTTTCAAAAGCAAGAACTGAAAACTTCAATATAATTATTAGAAGTAAATTGAATTAAAGTACCAAGCTCTGTTTCATCTTCAAGCGAAATTTTTGAATAACTAATCTTGAAATTGACGCGTCTATATAAGCATATATATACATATTAAAATTAAGCATATATATATATATATATATATATATATATATATATATATATATATATATATATATATATATCGATTATTTAATGATGCAACAAGGACATTTCTACGGGTACTCTTCGTGCCAAAATAAACGCAGCAGGCTAGGCACATGTTCGCATGCGGAAAGCCGAATCTATCTTTATTCTAACATCGGTATGGCTGATGCTAACCTCTATAGTAGATTGACTCAATTGCGCCTTCACGGAGTAAAATTTTCAGCTGATATGAATTGGAAAGAGTATATAGAATCAATTGCTAAGTCTCCTGTGTTAGACTATTTTTCTTACTCGACTCTATCTTATTTATAAGTCTACCGTTTGCCCTTTTATGAATATTCCTGCCACAACAGGTGCTCCTGCTATATATTTAAATATAAAATCCAAAGTAGAATCTGCACTGTTATTAGTCCTAACCTAGCATCTCGGCTTCAGTCTATTTTGCAATTCCGTAATTGTAGCTTACTTGTGCCTTTTCTATAAATACTTTCACGTAATTGTTGTGAGGGACTTGCAGTTATAGTACTTAGGCTTTAAGAATTTTACCGGATTAGCGGAAAGGTCTCTTCATTTTAAATTTCAAACGACTAGATGTAACCGCAAGTTCTATGCTAACAGTTTCTTCTATGGCAATATTCGTTTGTGGAACTCTTTTCCGGCTTCGTGTTTCCTACTCAACTTTTAGGTTCAAAAATTTAAATGCAATGTCAATTGTTATCTGTTAATTCGAGTTCTTTTATTGTCCTTATTAGATTTTATCATATTTCCTAACACTCACTAACCTCCTTGCGTCTTAGTAGCTTTATTGCCTTGTTTGGAATGAAATGATAAAAAAGAGAAATTATTTAATCGTTTGATTTTATTGGCATAAATTTATTGCATCTTTACTCAATAAACAAATTATTTTTTATGGCTTTTATTAACTTGTGTTCAACTCTTTATTCAGTTTTATTTGGCTGATAAGAAATATTAACAACAGTTTTTGAAAAAAAACTTTTATTCATATAATTTTTTCAAAATGCCTGTGCTGGGTCCAAATTGTAAATCCTACTGTAATGTTTAGAACTCTGACGGCCTGAACTGATTTGCGATAGTTTGAACCCTGCTGGTATGGAGCTCAATTTATATTAGGGCAAAACTTTGCGAGGACAATATGGTTGCGACGATGCTAAATTCATTATTGAGGCAGACAACTACGTAGTGATGAGTAGTTGGCCAACCTGTTAGTATCAGTCCTATATATCACTCGCTCACTCTGAAATGATATTACAAATACTGTGTACCTTCAATGAAATAATGCGAGAAAAAAAAAACTAAGACATTGTACAGCGTTTATTCAGTGTATGATGCAGCGTTGTTGCCTGGAGTATTGCTGATAGATCACAAAAAGCCAAAAGCGATTTGAAATAAGATGGAATTCATGATTTTCAAACATGTAATTATTTTCCCTGTCTTAATTAGATTTACTCTTACATATCCATTTGTTATTCCAAGAACTTTTATACTTCTGATTCACTGAATTCTTCAAAAAACCTGCAAAAATCTTTAAGCGTGAAAAGAATATTATAATAAAAACCTCAAACACACAAAAAAAAAACTCCAAAAAAAAAAAAACACAGTAGGATTACATTGGGAACAGTGCCAAACTTTTCATGACTGTCAAACTCTCCGCCTCGGCGGAGAGGAACCCGGACGAGGCTTTGCCGAAGGGCAAGGTTTCGGCCGGGGAGGCAGTCAGGCCCTGAAACTGTTTATACGGGTTCGAAGGAAATATTTTTGGCCAAGCCTACGGGCTTGGAGAACTCAGGATAAACTGGCCTTGTGTCCCATATGACCAAGGTGGGGGGCGTTAACTGTAACAGTAGGATTATAGTGTATGGAATAATGACAATTTTTATATCAAGACTCTAAAATCATTTAAGGAATAAAATGAGTTTACTATTGCTAATCTGATATCAGTGTATCAGAGAGTTCTTAGTTTAAAGAATTCATAAAACAAACGCAATAATCCCTCTCAGAATTTCAGCCAAAACAAGGAATTACATGATTCTTAATAAAAAATTATGACGCAACTTCAAACAATTCAAGGAATAAAGAAAATACTTAATTTCAAAATTTTATACGTTACTAGTAAAGAAGCTGTTTGGTTTGGTTTACTTTGTTTTACGGCATATCAACCTCAATGGGTTATTTAATGCCGACAACATTGTTAGGATAGATTTGTATGAATAGAGTATGTATTCTTTGGTTTAGATTGGTTTGGTTTATTTTATTTTACAGCATATCAACCCCAATGGGTTATTTAATGCCGGCAACATTTTTAGGATAGATTCGTATGAATAGAATATGTATTCTTTGGTTTAGATTGGTTTGGTTTATTTTCTTTTACGGCATATCAACCTCAATGGGTCATTTAATACCGACAACTATTTTTTTCCTGGTAATATTTTTCTTTTGTCAAAAATCTATTTCTGGTAATATTTTTCCTCAGAAATGTACAGCTGGTAATATAATTTAAAAAAATGTATTGCTGGAAATTTTTTTTTCAAAAACGTATTGCTGGTAATAGTTTTCTTCTTCAAAAATTTATTTCCGGTAATTTTTTTTTACAAAGTATTTGTGGTATTAAAGCCCAGTCTTACACTTTCATAACGCTTTTTACCACAGTGTCACGGTTAACTATATGCTCATAGCCGGGTCCCTATTAGGTGCTACCACACCGGGTCAGTGTGTTCCACGCTCCTCAAAGCCTCAAGCCTCCTTCCTGTTGAACGTAATTTATCGTCTTACCCTGGACGCGGATGTAGTTTATCGTCATACCCAGGACAAGAAACTGTTTTTAATGAGATAAAAATTATCTTAGTTCTTGCCACTTTTCAACAACCACATTCGACGTTAGTGTATCCGTGGTATAAAAACAATGACAGCAAGAACTAGAAAAACTCGATATTAATGCCAGAATGAATTCTACATGAAAACATTTTATATACGGCCCTAGAATATTCAAATATATCATCAAAAGTGTTATACATAAGCATACTTATATTTATCAGAAATGTGTCCCACAGGGAGAATTTATAACAGTCACTATTTGAAAAGAGGAATTTAAAAACGTTAACTGGTAACTATGAAGGACACAGTCATGTCGGTCGATGTGTTTATTTAGGATGCCTGCCGTTCGATAAAATACGTCACAAGGATCTGTTGGTACTGCTCGCTAACCTTTACATATTTGGGAAATATATCAGAATAATCAAGAACCTCTACTGGCAGTAAACAGCATACCTGCGCATTGAGAATGAGTTCAGCATATATACAAAAATAGAAATGGGCGTAAGGCAAGGATGTGCCTTCTCACCGGACTTATTTAATCTATACAGTGAGGCTATTCTGAGAGAATTGGATATCCTATTAGGATTCTGCATTGGCAGCAACTATCTTAACCAGATACGCAGATGACACAGTACTGTTAGCAGACACGGAAAAGAAATTAGAACAAAGGAAAGCGAGAAAAATGGACTAAGCACAAACTACAAGAAGACAGAATGCATGGTCGCCCGTAAAAAGATGAGCTGAAAATACGGCTTAGAGGTCGGGGACACTAAAATCAAGCAAGAAGTTTAAATATCTGGGAAGTGTTTTGACGGAGGGCAGTAGGTGCGACGATGAGATCCGAAGACGGATTGAGATGTTCAAGGACGCATTCCAAAAGCTCGGCAGCGTATTGCGAGACAGGAGGATCTCTTTGGTAACAAAGAAAAGAGCACTGAACTGCTATGTGATATCTGTCCTCCTTTACGGCAGCGAATATTGGACGGTCTCCTCACAGATGAAGAAGAGACTCGAGGCCACGGAAGCATCGTTCTATAGAAGGATGCTGAGGATATCATGGACTGAGCGTGTGAGCAACGCTGAGGTTTTGGAGACGATGCAAACAAGGACGAAGCTTATATTTAACATCAGAAAGAGGCAGCTGAAATTTCTGGGACACGTAATGAGAAACGAAGGCTCGGAGAATCTGATACTCACAGGTCGAATAGAGGGAAAGAGAGTGAGAGAGAGAGACACGGTAAAGCAACGCCTGACATACCTGGCGGACTTAAAAAGTGGATGACAGAACATGGTCTGGCAGAGAGACGAAACTTATTGAGAGCTACAAGTGATAGGGTGAAGTGGAGAGCCATGATCGCCTACGTCCTGAAGAGACACGGCACATGAAAATAAAAAAGAATCTTTCGCTGGTTGTCCTAATTTCTGAAGGCTATCACATCTCTTCTCTCTCTCTCTCTTTCTCTCTCTCTCTCTTTCTCCCCCCTCTCTCTCCTGGTTTAAATAGCATATTTCTATCGTCATTCTTGAGGTGTCTTCACTTCCGGACTGTTACGTTAACTTCAGGGCCTTTTTAGTGAATTAGTAAATTAGTCAAATTGTAAAAAAAAAAAAAGACTTCCGAATAACAACATTAGGAAGGCTGATGAGTGCATCGGTTTAACTAAAACAACAAATATGAGGATATGGTGATGCAATATTATCCGTTTCTTTGTAAGGAAATATTCGGCATTTAATTGATCGCCGGTAAAATTTATAAAATCATTTTATGAAGACATTCTTCCCAAATCCAATAATTTTTCTTGATTGTTTCAATATTGCTAAACGCTTTCCTTCCTAAACTTTTCTTTGAAGTAGTGTGGAATGTCACCATCTTGATTATGTCTAATTTCTAGTTGAGTTAAATGTGTTACCATTTAATTATGACTGCCGTAGCATCAGCTCACGTTATTCAGAGAAGGATAATCTTACTTATTATAAAACGCAGATTGTGTGTGTGTGTGTGTGTGTGTGTGTGTGTGTGTGTGTCTGTACGTTTATATATTGGATCGGATTTCCTAAATTTTTCAACCGATTTCAACAAAACTTCACAGGACTACGTAAAATTACCTTGCGGTGGTTCTGACAGCGCCAAAAATTGGAAAACCACAATTGTTTTTGCATGAAATCAATTTGAAAACACGATTCTGTCGCCAGAATGAAAGGGGGACAACTCATATCGAGTTATACTTATTATAAAACCCAGGTTGTGTGTGTGTGTGTCTTGCACAATTTTTTCTTTATTTTTACATTCAGAATGCTTTAAAAATTCTATTTACAAGACAATTGTTTATAATAAAATTCTATTCAATCGGTAGACTCATAACGATTGAAAACAATGTCTTTGTATGAGTTTGGATTTGACCACTTCGTAAAAAAAAAAAAAAAACTAATTAAGACATGCGTGTCCATCAACCTTAAACAATAATCTTTGTCAGTTTTATTTTTCAGGCTTTATGTTGGTCGATACTTGATCTATCTCTTACTGTTACATCCCCGGGCAACGCCGGGCTCTACTGCTAGTCCTTACTAAAACCTGACTCACCACCCTGACTCAAAGTGGTAGTACCTGTCAGGGTCCCAGCTATGGGCAAATATTTACCTCCCTCCAAAGCTTCAAAACACTATGAAAGTATAAAAGAGGTTTTTAATACCAGCACAACTTTTGGGAAAATTTTTTAAAAGTAATATATATATATATATATATATAAATATATATATATATATATATATATATATATATATATATATATAGTCAAACCTAGAGAGCCAGATAAACCTACCAAGGTCTGCTCTACTTTTTTATTGAGCACTTTTAAGTTAGTTGATAATTCGTATCGGTTTTTTTTTTGGACTTTGGACCTGTATACTGTACGATTATTTTCGACAGACGTTCGAGTTGATAGCTCTTTCTTTTTTAAAACCTTTTTTTTTTCCTTCGAGATTGATTTGACCATTAGCAAATCAAGAAACCGACGGTTTTCCGAGACGAGTGTAGTTACCTATATATATATATATATATATATATATATATATATATATGTATATTATGGCATTAAAGGCAATCATTTTTTTACTATATGCCATGATAAATTCTAAAACAAAAACACGAACACAAGTCGACCGGTTTCGTCCCCTCTCGTCAGAACTTTAAATTATGAGAAGAAAGTATGTCGCGGATGACGTGAAGGAATGGACAGGGAAAAAATATAATAATAAAACTTTTAACACCAAAGATGCTAGAGACACAGCACCGCAAGTCCAAGCAAACAGTCTCTTTTTTTTTTACAAAGAGCGGGTCGGTTGAAACCTGATGAACAGCGTCTCGAAAACCTTCAGATGGAATAACGAGCGTGCTCTGGTCAGAACAGAAAACCAGCTCACACTAAAATCCATAGCACAGGTCAGATTATTTATCAAGTGATCCGCTATAGAAGACCTTTCATCTTTGTGTAAAGACGTTCTACCCCCACACCATATTAATTCCGTTATTTATTATTTTAAATGTAGTTGTGGACTCGACTACATAAGTAGAACGACACAGCGTTTAGATGTTAGGATTAAACAGTACGTGCCTGCTAAAATACTTAAAAAAATTTTCGTTTGGTGACACCATTCGAAATACATACAGGTCTTCTATAGATATCTACTCGGCATTAAATAACCCATTGAGGTTAATGTGCGGTAAAACAAACCAAAACAAATCTAACTACTGAAGGCCATTACATCTCTCTCTCTTTCTCTCTTCATCTCGTTCTCTCTCTCTCTCTCTCATTCATTCACACACGCACACAGACATACACACACACACGCAGACACACACTCGCCGTTTAAATTAGCATATTTCTATCGACATCCTTGAGGTGTCGTCACTTCCAGACTGTCACGTGATCTTCAGGGCCTTTTGATTTTGTCGCAAATTGTGTTTTTTGGCGAAACTACTTCTAAGCGCGGCCAAAACTATTTTCAATTTCCTTTTTCTCCTAGACTAAATTTGTTATCAGTTCAGAGAAATCATTCAGAAGTTCAGAAACAAGTAGGAAAGGATGATTCAGATTGTCATTTTACTCATCGAGCGGGCACAATGTCGAAGAGGGTGCATACGCGATAGCAGACCCCTTATGGTTTCACAACAATGAATCTGTCTTATTCGACGAAGACACGAAAAGGAATATCATTTCGGTCCAGCGGTTTGAATCGCGTAACGGCCATGTCTCCGGACCGATGCTCGATGGGAAATGATTTTTAGATTATGGCTACACCAATATGAAAAGTTTGGGGACCACATTCCTTGTTTCCAAGGATACACAAAAATCCAATCATTTAGACAGGGGCGGTAGCGTGTTCATTTTTATTAACTACTGTTGTATCAATTATGAGTTACTTTTGAAAAAGAGGTTAAACAGTTTTTCCCAGTTGTTTATATCGATCTGTATGGGTTTCAGGTTTCTTTTGAAGTTGTCTTCATAGCGGAGTCTTTGACCGCCTCACCGTCGCTCCCTTCTTGATTTTTCAGTTCACGGTACAGAGACATTTCCGGCAATCGTGAATCGTTCGAACGATCGACGGTTCCAGCAGGGACTGATTTAGATGAAGAAACGCCCTAGGCTATTCCACTTGTGAGGCCCCTTGAAATGCCTCATTCTCACGAGGAGACGAAAATGGAAGCGTGTTAAATTAAAGGATTTGAGTAAAACCGACTATGATGAAGAGTGTTTAAGATTATTGAAAGGAAGAGTCTACACTGCGTTATGTGCAAGAGAGGCCTATGACAGTGTCAAAAATAACATACACCCGGAGATCTCCTGGATTTTGAAGCACTAGGCTTCAGCCTGATATCCCTATAGGTAAATCCGGCACTGATGTCCAGTCTATCGTTGGTTGAGTAATAAGATCAGTCATCGAAGTTTTCAAAAAGGCGTATTCGTTTTCTCTATATAGAAATCTCATATAAACAATCGAAGCTCCGTTGAATTTTTGTTGAAGAGACGGACAAAGCAAATTTCCGTCATTAGCAAACGCTAACAGAGAACAAAAACGGATCACCTTTATTATATTTCAACTCTTTTTTTTTCTTCTGTATCCTGGTATTTTATTCCTCTGTGCTGTTCCTGTTAATTAGTTCCAAGATGCCACGGAGACACAAAGCAAGTAATGTCAGTAATCAAAAGTATTTCTATATCTGACAGCGATCAACAGGCGCTTCTTTCACATCAGAAGAGATCTGAAGCTGATTGTCGGTTCATATTTTTCCCTGTTGCCTTATATCAGCCATAAACAGCTGTACTTCTGAAGCAAAGAAAAGGAAAAGAAAAGTCGCCTTCATAATAAGGCCAGCGTTTTCTGTTGTTTGCGATGGATCTTGCTTTAAATGGTCGCCATTTTCATTAGTTTTCAAGTGCTGAATTCTTCTAGAGCGTTCTGGGTTATTCTAAAATCTCGTCGCTTTAAGACGTGCTTGCACCTACTGAATATTTACCATGGATCACCGAGTTAGAATCGATTCAATTTTGATTTGTTTGTATGACGGCATATCAACGCCTGGATCAATTAATGCAGAACTTTAATTTTCTTGGGATCTTTGAAGTAATAAAAATATATGTTATTCTGCTTTCACAATTGAATACATGGTAGATGATACTCAGCTTTTGTGCATATATATGTTTGTGTGGACATAATTACTAGAGGTTGTGATATGTACGTTTTATGTTGTAGTTTTCTTGAAGTTATATTTTGCAATACAGTTTGATACCTTTAAGAAATTGTAGAATATTATATGGATTAATGCCAGGAAACAGTTCTTTCATGTTCATTGATACATTGTCGGCAATTTTTTTTTAATAAAAAATACTAGCAGTAGAACCCGGCGTTGCCCGGGGTTGTAACAGTAAAAGAGATAGATCAAGTATCGACCATCCTAAAGACTGAAAAATAAAATTGACAAAGATTATTGTTTAAGGTTGACGGACACGCATGTCTTATTTATTTATTTTTTTTTTTACGAATTGGTCAAACCAAACTCAAAGAAAAACATTGTTTTCAATCGTTATGAGTCTACCGATTGAATAGAATTTTATTATAAACACTTGTCTTGTAAATGGAATTTTTAAAGCATTCTGAATGTAAAAAAAAAGAAAAAGTGTGCAAGACAATAAAAACACTACCTGCCAAAAAAAAAAAGTGAAGTTTTGTTGAAATCGGTTGAAAAATGTAGGAAATCCGATCCCATATAAAAACGAACACACACACACACACACACACACACACACACACACACACACACACAACCTGGGTTTTATAAGTGTATCTCGATATGAGTTGTCCCCCTTTCATTCTCGAAACAGCGATGCCTCTTAATCGTGTTTTCAAATTGATTTCGTGCAAAAACAATTGTGTTTTTCCAATTTTTGGCACTGTCAGAACCACCGCAAGGTAACTTTACGTAGTCCTGTGAAGTTTTGTTGAAAT